CAGTTATGAATTATTCATTTTTTTCTCTCTCTACCATAAATAAGCTACCTATGCATCTGCTCTATTATGTACACCATCTGTTCTTTTAATGAAGTGACAAATTCAATGACAATCATAGTGAAAACAAGTCACTTTACAAATAAGCACCCTGTTACCATATGTAACGCGATCTCTCTGGATAATTGAATATGTCGCCCAATTTATGCTGTTAAAACAATGAAGGTGAATTGTTAAGACATTATCATTATAGAGAGAATTACATTGGCTCTAATAGATTTGTTTAATTGGTGATATGTAGGTTTGGCCATTGCAAGGCGACTAAAGCCTTTTGGAGTGAAGAGACTGCTGTACACAGGCAGACAACCCAAACCTCAGGCTCAAGAGATTGATGGGGAATATGGTAAGAAAAGACAAGAAATTGCTTGATGCAACTCAATATATGAATACAGATGGAATAAAACTATTCAGAGGGCATATGATGATTGTATGATTGCCTCTTTTATTATCTCCACTCAGTGCCTTTAGACACTCTGGTGAGAGAGAGTGATTTTGTGGTGGTATCTTGTTCTTTGACTCCTGACACTCAAGGCCTTTGTGACAAAACCTTCTTCAGCAAGATGAAGAAAACGTCAATCTTCATCAACACCAGCAGGTAAAACACACTGTTAAAGCAGAGCAGCAGTGGAAGATGTTTGATTCTTTACTGCTATATTTGACCCATATTTGTCAAGAACATTACAGTTCTTCTGTAGACTGGCTCTTCTTCTTTTCTTTTAAACTGCAATGCATATATCGATTTTTCAAATCAATACTAAAGTGAAAAAATACTTTATTCTCCTTTCTCTAGAGGGGCACTTGTGAATCAAGAGGACTTGTTTGGAGCTCTCAGCAGTGGTCAGATTGCAGCAGCGGGGCTTGATGTTACAACCCCTGAACCTCTGCCCACCGACCACCCACTGCTGACCCTTAAAAACTGTGGTGAGTGAAAAGCAGCTTTTAAATCTCACTAGTGCTCTTGTACATTGTAAATCCACTGCAATAGTTATTTTTTGCCAGTGAAAAGCCATGTAATATTAGAAAAAACCTTTATCTAACTCAAGTCTTGCTTTGTCTTACAGTGGTTCTCCCTCATATCGGCAGTGCCACCTACTCCACACGTGGTGTCATGAGCAAACTGACGGCAAACAACTTGCTGGCAGGCCTGACAGGCTCTGAAATGCCCAGTGAGCTGAAACTGTAGTGCTCTGGAATTTAGATGCCATATGTCGTTGTATGCTACTGACTTTTGCATTCATATATCTAACCATTAAATCCACTGCATTAACTAGATGAGATTAGAAAGGATGAAACATGTATTAAAATCATCTCACATGGTTAATTTTGGTCATGACTGGAACGAGATGACAATTTGATATGCTAAACATGCACATTTGTTCTAGTGATATTGCAGACATTCAAAGTCAACACTCAAACGTCCTTTTACACTCCAAGCTGAAGTAGAATGAATGTTATAGGTGTTTAATTTGTAACAATAAGGGATTTATTGAAAATTCCTGTATTTGACATCTCTTGGAGAAGCAGTTTTTGTTAAAGAAATCGTTAAACCACATTTTCTAAACATCAGGATTGGAATGTAATGTGAAACGTCATAGTCATTACATAAATTGTCCGTAGCATGTTTAGCTTTAACCCTCATAACACAGTATAATGAATCCAAATGTATAAATGGGTACAGGGATTTTAAATTTACATTAAAGCAAAGTAAATGTTATAAATCCAATCCGAGTTTTAGTCTCAACAACTCTGTCAATGGGAATAACTGATGAAAGATTTATTGCTTAGACCATTGTGAACATGACAACATTTTGGTAGACAATATACATATCTTGTTTGCCATAGTTTTCAACTGAGATTGGATGAGAACAAATCAAATACATTCAATTGCATCCAGTAAAAAAATATTAAATAAAATAAGTGATACAAAGTTACATCATCTCTTCATTAACTGGCTTGGTAAGTGACTACTCCATGCTCATCTGGCAGGGAATGTTTCTGTTCATGGTGAAGTTTCATATGCTGTCCAGCTTCTTCAAAACATAGGGTGCTGAAAAACAAAAAGCCACTTATTTTCAACCAACAGAAACCTTTTGATTGACATTAAGAGACGTTGCTCTGTTTGACACAGAGTTGAATAAGCTCTAACTATACACTGTCTCTAACTTTAAAGGTGACCTCCATCATTCATAGCCATGGAGACCCCATTAAATGCTGAATAGATCATCAGTCAACACAACTCACATTGTGCATCGTGAAACTCATTAAAAAAAATAATTCATTAATAAATAATACCAGTTTTAAACCGATCACACGTGCACATCTGATCTAACCTGCTACACGCATGAAGCGCCTGGATACTCACCGACTCGAAGAAGCGCAACATACATCAAAAAGTTGCGAGCAGACGTGATGACATCCTCGCGCATTTTTTTCTTCATCTCCTCCGGGTCCATCTTTGGCCCAAGTCCCTCAATTTTAAACATGTTTGAGCTGGAATCGAGGATTATATGTGCCTCAGACGATCACTCCAAGCCACATT